GTAGCATTCTGAAAATTCAGGGAATGTTATTAAATAATTGCATTAATAACAAAGGGAATGTCATTTTCATATATTCAGTAGGGGTAATGCAAATTACAGACTGGAGATATCAAAATCAAGCAATTTCAACAGTTTAGATATTTGGGCAGCGTATAACAGAGGACGGAAAGTGTGACACGGAAAATAGATGGTGCATTGGGATAGCGGAAGGTGCATTCCAAATTTAAGCCATGTAATAAGAAACAAGTATATCGTTACTAACAAATGAAATAGCTCTGGATTTTATGTAGTATACGTCCTCCTCTACGGTTGTGAACGCTGGACAATATTCTCACAGGGGAATAACAAATTTGAAGCAACAGGTATATGGTTCTGCATTAGGATGTTGAGAATATCATGGTCCGAACATGTGATCAACGACAAAGTTCCAAAGACAATGATAACAAATATTACTCATATTTAGCACCAGGAAGAGACAGTTGTAATTTTTGGGGTACATAATGAAGAAAGAGCGCTTAGAAAATGTGCTACTCACAAGACAAATTGAAGGTAAACGCGTCAGAGTAAATCAACGCACTGTCTATAGGGGTGGGATGTGCTACTTGAACAAATGGATGGCGTAGCGGGGTTCGAAAGTGAGGGAAAGAAGAGAAAAATAATTAGAAGCTACAGCAAATTGTGGAGTGTCATGGTCCCCAACGCCCTGAAGGAACACGGCATATAGAAATTGTTAATAAGTAAAAAGTTTTAGCAGAACTGAGTTTAGCTGTTTCAGCAATACAGAATTTAGTAGCCGGAGCAACCTTAAATTAAACAAAAATTATACTATGATCATATTCATGCTGTAGACAAATGTTGAATGTAGTTCACGTAGGCAGAGTCCCGTCATTGAACAAAAAGGTGAGGGTCAGGCTTAATCTCTAACGCTTGGAGCAATAAGCTGATTTGACTTCTACAGATAAAAGAAGCCATGTGCAATGTCTCATTCCGGAGGGAGAAGGAACGGATTCCCCTCTCTATAGCAGTTAAATATGAAGGCATCAAAAGCGTCCATTGATGAATGATAATAATTAGAAATAAGCTTTAAAAGATTAGATGATTCATATTTATGACGATGATTTGAGATGATTCAGTTTACTGAATCCGGGGGCTGGGATAGTGGGAGGTCTGCTAGGAACTTGAGAAATCTTGCTCTCAAAGAATCTCACCTATGACTTGGAGATACATACGTGGTGTCCACATACAATCATAATAAAAATAATGCAACGACTTATTCTTTAAATATAAGTGTAATTTTATTCTGAGCTAGATTTAAATCATTGTCGCGCAAGTCTGTAACATAGCATCTGGGCTTGGGGCTAACGCAATGACATTTATGATTGCTGGTTTCCACAGTCCCACTCTAGATTTGCTGGGTTCAGTTCCATCAGATTGATGGCTTTTAATGCACAAGTATAAAACCTTCTTTTTAAGCCATTTAGCGTGGACTGACTCATGGAAATGAAATGCAAAAAATGAAATCTATGTCATGATTGGAATTCTTACATTGGGGATATGAAAAGATCAAACTAAAGGTGAAAGTGTACTATTCTATTATAATGATTACTGACAGAAGCCTCCCAGCCAAATCAGTGATTTCTAATTGTTTAATTGAATTTGACAAGGCTCGAAATCCAAACACGTTTTGGTATAGCAAATGATGATTCAAGAAACTGAACAAATTACTGAGGAACGGCAAATGTTCGTGAAAGTAAACGGAAGAATGCCGTCACTACGTAATATCAATCCTCTTTATAGCAGTGAATGCTGGACAATTTTCGCACAGGTGAAAAGAATACTGATGGCAGTCGAAATATGATTCTACAGAAGAATGGGTGGATGGAATCATTAAAGGAAATGGAAACTAAAATTCACTTATACCTAGAAACAGAAAGGGGCAGCAGAAATTGCATGACCTCATATTGAGGAAGGAATTTGAAACGTACCTATATAAATATTGAAAGCAAAAGAAACAGGTGAAAACAGTGGACAAATTACAGACGAGCTTATGTGATTGGTTGTCAGAATCGGGTGTGGATGGAATTGTAAATTGACAAATATTACTAGTAACTACAAATTATAGAAAAATTCGGGAGAGCCATGATCGCCCATAGGCAAAAAGGAAAATTTCATCTACCTTAAACAAACAGGATGTTGTTGGGATTCATTATGGCACATGCTCTGAACGGACACGGCATATAGAAAGATAACAATTTGAATCTGCGAGTTCAAAATCCGTTTCAGTCTGTTACATTAATTTTCGGATTAATGTTGTAGGAAAGGGCATGTACCCATCTTGTCTTCTTCCAGTAAATAAATAGAAGGTATACTCTGTTGGCAAAAGTTCTAAGGGAAATAAAACTCTCAAAACTAACTGTTGACTACGAAAGTGGAAGCCACTCTACTTATTTTACCATGGGCTTACCGTCACATCAAGCTGAAACATGGGTTCACGTATGATCACATTATACATTATTTACATTATTTTGACTATTGTCTTCACCTTTGTCGCCATATTTGTTACAACATTTCGGCCGTTGTAATCTCCGGCCTTCTTCAAGAAATTTGGAATGTCGAACTTAACCCTGTATTTCGCTTCACTATATATATATATATATATATATATATATATATATATATATATATATATATATATATTGAGAGAGAGAGAGTTTATCCTTTAATATTAATTTTCTTAAAAAATTGTGTCGATTAATTATTAATTGCCTTTTCAAAATTACGAATGATCCTTCTCAGATAAGAAGAAAATGCAACAGAAATTGCCTGACCTTCATTTTGGAGGAAGCATGATACAATTTTTCGTCATTCTTAAGTTATTATCAGGGTAGGAAGAGACAAATTGTGAATTTCGTAGAATAGTGAATGTAGTGATGTGGCTAAAGAGTGTTGACATAGGTTGCTTCTAGGATCACATATATATATATATATATATATATATATATATATATATATATATATATATATATATATACGTATACATATATATACATAAATAATACATAAGGTTGTTTAGGATCATATATATATATATATATATGTATTCATATATATATATATATATATATATATATATATATATATATATATAGAGAGAGAGAGAGAGAGAGATGGAGAGAAAAAACAGTGAGAAACCATTTGTATATATACATATATATACATACATATATATATATATATATATATATACATACATATATATATTTTATACATACATATACACACACACACACACATATATATATATATATATATATATATATATATATATATAGAGAGAGAGAGAGAGAGAAAGACAGACAGAGAGAAAGTGAGAGTGAGGGAGACACTAAGAGACCATTTGTGGCCCACTTATGTTTTCGGCAGCCATATTATTAATATCAATATGCCCGTTAACTTCCGATATGAACATTATTTTTATCAGATTCTAGGAAGTCAATATTTTCACACCGCCTTCAAACTCCGATGGGAAATTCAGTATATTAATAAAATATAAATAAAATACAGTAATAAAATGAGTATTAAATGCGACAAATTTTCGTATAACAGCAGGATATTTACGGAAAACGCGCTTTTCCATTATGCGCTCAGATGACATGATTTCACAGGACACACTACAGTTTGCCTGAAGATAAACGGATGTCACGTAAGCAGTCGAAACAAGAGATAATCAAAAGGCGAGACATCGAGTATTTTCTTTGCTCGCGAACAAAGTTAAGGAAATTAGAAAAACGAGTGTCTCATAAAATAATCTAGGAAAATGTTTCTATGAATCTAATGCCATCTGTTATTTAATTGACTGGAAAGAAAGTGCAGAAATATCATGTGATTACTATACTGCTAACTACGAAAAAGTTTGTTATAATCTAAGGCTGTTGACTATGTGTGAACAAGAGAATAAATGCATAACATTTGATATAGAACTAATGATTACAATGGTTCTGTTAATTGATGATGTTGATCGTAAAATAATATGACAATGCAATTAAGCATCGTGTTAGTTATCGCTGTCAAATATTTCTGGAGTTGCGTACATTAAGATCAGTTTTTTTAAATAAAATAATTTGTGTAGAATATCCCATTTTCGATAATAACCAAAAAGTTTGAGGTTTCACGCTGGTCAAATGTATTATTAAATGGATACCATAAAACACTTTAGAAAAATGTCTCTCAATATGACCGCAGGATGAAAATACAATTGGAAGTATATGCTAAAAATATAGTATTTTAAGAAAGCTATTTAAAATGGCGTTATTTAAAATGACTTTAGAATATAACTTTTGTCTTCTAATATAATATAACAGTAAATTGTCCTCTTTATATATATATATATATATATATATATATATATATATATATATATATATATATATATATACATTATCTTGAACATGAAAGAATATGATAAAATAAATAGAAAAATAAAATAAATAAATCGCATTCTTTTTGTACATTTGCGCTAATAACCGTTGCACATAACGCCACGCTCGACAACTGAAAATCTGCAGCTCCCCAAAGAATACCATGATGTAGACAAAGGAATACGTTACATTATTCACGTCACAAAAAATGCCAAATTCCAATGTGGTAATAGTTGCTAGAATATGAAATTGATGTTTTAGGGAAAAAAGATTAGTCATTACTCGTACATCCATAATTATGTGTGCGCTTATATATGATTTACAGATTATCTCAGTTTTTTTTTTTTTGTCGCTTAGACTGTTTGCCGTATACGTAAATAAGATATTTGTTTATCTAGAATTCATCCATTTTATTTAGCCGTCTGCGTTACTCATGCATTCCCTGTCTGCTTATATAGCACACTACTTTGAAAATAAAAAATTCTGTTGCTTTCTTTTTGAACATTCTAGTTACAAGATTGCATAAAACTAGAGACACCGACCCAATTTTTATCCTGCTCCATTTTTGTCCTGTTACTATTCGTTGAAACATCGGTTCCCGTACGATCACCGAAGTTAAGCAGTGCCGAGCCTGGTCGGTACTTAGATGGGTGACAACTGAGGAATAACGAGTGATGCAAGCTTGGATGTGCAGGTGGTGCAATAGATAATTGCTAGGAATTGTTAATCGGGGAGCCGATTTCCAATTCCAGTTTTTTTCGATATATTTACTTATTCACAAATATCCTTTGTAAAGATATGAATTAACATCTCTTCCCCGAACATGTTAATTAGCAAAGCATGCGTCACTAAAACCATTATTATCTCCAAATATACAAAAAAAAAAATTGTAAGGTAATTATTTAGATTTCGTCATTAAATAATCCATCGTGGTTGATATGCCGCTAATAAAAACAAGCAAACTGGATTAATGTAATTCTTTCTTTTCACCTTATTTTTTATATTATTTTAAATCACTTTAATTTTAGGTGGGGATAGCGATTTTCTAAGTCCAGCTTAGATGTGGCACAAGGCCGAAAGTATGAAATACCCAGTGAGGATCGAACTCACTACTCAGTCGTAATTGATCTCGAAAGACAAGCTTTCTAACCATTACACCACGTCGAAGTGTAGGTGGGAATATTATTAAGATATGCTTATATTAGAGATACCTCATTGCGTCTTTTTGTCTCATGTTTTCCATATTCTCAATTATTATACTGAATGAATAGCTTGATCTGCTGCTGGAAAATACGGCATTCATCTTGCCCATTAACACATTTACCGTTTATCGGTTCATTTAATATTGCTGCCATGTCTGGTGTATTGCACTTGCTATATATCTCGACAACTTTGAAGATAGATCTATAATGTCAACGGTTCAGACGTGGCATCTAGATTTCAGTCATTTTCGCATTTTCTATCAATAGTTTTTCTTGTAAATTGTTCTAATGAAAGCTCTAGGTTGCTCCCCAAACTGCATGATTTTAAAGGTACTACTAAATTGGTAAGAGGATCTCTTCATTATACAAATGAAATGGCTAGATGTAATCGTAAGTTTTATTCTAATCTAATTATTATGTTCACGCACATCTGAACTGTGGAAATCTCTTCCGGTTTGTTGCTTCCTTGCAATCTACGATGTTCAAAACTTCAAATGCAACATTAATCGTCATCTTCTGTCTTCCTGAATCCTGTTCTTTATTGTACTTTCTCTAAAGTAATTATTTTAATTCTCTTTCACAACCAGCAATAACTGGCATCATTACGAAATTGCTAACGGTGAAATTATTCAAATAAATACGGCATATAAAATATTTACTAACCTCAGTTTAATATGATTAAATGGAACAAAATCAGAGTATTTACTGAGACAGTGAAGCAACTAATATAAAAAAAAAACAAAAAAAAAACGATATTTCCTGACAGTCCTTAAAACGCAATGATACACCAAATATGCACTATAAGCCAAGCCAAGTGCCCGTAAATGTTCAATTGAATTGCACCCTGCGCTCGTCAACAGGGCAAATTTTTTTTGTCATGACAACGCGATGTCGTACACAGGAAGAATAACACAGAAAAATAATTTTGGAATATGACACCTAAGATTGCATTATTGTTTATCGCTCACTGCAAAACGCTGCTTTGATGTGGTAAAATTCTCTACGGAAAACCAGACTGGAGATTTCGTCGAAAATTTTTTACATCAAATCCTGCGGAATTTCACGCCAAATGTATTGAAGTGTTGGCTAAATTTTGACATTTTTACTAATAATTGTGAATAAAGCGAAAATGTACTTTTTTATTTTGATGATTAAATTAAATAAACAAATAGAAAATTAATAATAAATAAAATATAATATTGATTCCAACGCATATTCATCACAGAAATCCTTGATATAGTTCTTATAATATTCTTTGCTCCAAACTATATGAACATTAACATAATTATTGCAGATCATTATATTTATTTTCTGACAATTGCTATTTGACTTGAGTCATAGATTTTCGGTAGAAAAACGTATCCAAATTTAAATTATGGAGCATCCGTATGTATGTGACAGCTTCAAGACTTGTATTTCTGAAAAAAATATTTAAAAAACGAATCACGGGAGAATGATAGAGATTAATTTTAATTTAAAAATTTTCATAATTTAAATTAAAATTAATGTTAAAGAATAAATTCAGTGTTAAAGAATTTATTTGTTGTTGTTTTTCATCCATCAAAATATGAATAGAATTTTCTCATATAATCAGAAAGCGGGATTGTTGTTTTTGTCCAGAGCATATGGCTAATTACTTTAAATTCATTGCAATCTCCTTCAGCAGCGCTTATGAATTTTAGATTATTGCTTTTTTAACACAATCAGTGCGCATGTTTGTTTATCGGCATTCTTTCTTTCATTCTTTCTTTCTTTCTTTCTTTCTTTCTTCCTTTCTTTCTTTCTTTCTTTCTCTCATTCATTCTGTCTTTCTCTCAGTCTTTATTTATTTATTTATTTATTCATTTCATTTTAAAAATATTATTTCTCTTCTCATACGATTTCTTTATATATCACTCTTCTCGATACATTCAGGGTATGTGCGCGCGTGTGTGTGTGTGTGTGTGTGTGTGTGTGTGTGTGTTTTCTTACCGCTGCAGCTTTTTTACAAACGTCTAAAATCTTGACGAATGTCCTCTTGTATTATTATTTATTTGATCATATGAGTTATATATATATATATATATATATATATATATATATATATATATATATATATATATATATATATATATATATATATATATATATATATATATATATATATATATATATATTATATATTTTCTTTATATTTCACCTTTTTGTCCCCCTCATGTGATTTTTTCTTCTACGTCTTTTCTACAAACAATCACGATTTTATCGAATGTTCTCGCGTATTATTATTTATTATTTGTTCAAAATTATTCATTTATTTCGTTTCTTCTTTCGTTCTTACTCTATTTTCTTTTCTTTTCTTTTGTTCGGTCTCCAATACTTCATCTTTAATTACTCTTCCGTTCGTTCATTTTTCCCAGCCTTCTCACCCAGTTCTCTCTTTAACCGTTTTTCTATTTAATTTTCAAATGTTGGAAATTAATTAAAATTGCTTATGACTTCTAATATTTGACCTGTTCAACTTTCCAGGAATTAAAACTATTTTCTTTTATCCCGCTCCATTTTCTTCCCCTCAGATATGAAAATTAATAATTGTGTTTGCAACATTATTTTAGGCTGATTGATTTTGTTTTTTCGTTTTAGTTTTTACGGATTTATTTCTCTGCTACTAATCAATGTTTCTAGTTCTCGCCAGAATTGTTTTGTCATCAAATCGGATCACGATTGTGACGCTTTGAAAAAAAACTGAGAGAAGAAAATAAAGCGAAAGAAGAAGAACGCAATTATGATGATGATGATGATTGTAATGATGACACAGATATCTCAGCATCATCATCAAGGAGATGAAGATGATGATAGTTGTTATTAGATTTTACCGCTCCAATTATTGGATGCCTGACGAGTCCTAATTTGCTTTGGTCACGATAGATTTACATGGATGCGTGTGCTAATGATTCTAGTCTTCCTAACTAGCCAACTAGAATTATATAGCGTCTATTTTAAGTTTAACCCATTATAGTCTAAATCTGATGATATGTCAAAAATGATCCGTACTTTAGCCACAATAAAACTTTAGGTTTGTCACAATACTTTTGCTGATACGTGCTTATTATTGATACTACTATGATCACGTAATTGCAGTTTGAGCATGATCGTGATAGTTTTCTTGCTGCTGTTACTGTGTCAACATGGTCACTCCGCTAGAAGTGTGCACCAAGGAGAGAAAAAAAAAACAGTGATACGAATTCTCTGGTCGGAAGGCGCGTCAGGGGCTGAAATTCATCGGAGGCACAATATGGCGAAATTGCATTATCGAGTACAAATGTGTATGAGTAGATCGAGAAATTTAAAATAGGCCAGACAAGCGTGACGCACGAAGAAGAAGCAGGAAGCCCGTCAGTCTCCAGCACTAATATTCAGTGAGCTCGCGAGATGGTAATGACGTAATGGCGAGCTATCATCGATAAGTTAGCATATTCTGCGCAGATTCGGATCACTGTTTTTTTTTTTATTATTCTTTGGTACACACTTCTAGTGGAATGGTCATTCTTTCACTGTAAGAGCAACGAGAAAATGGGTGACATCAAGTTAAACTTCGATCACATGACCACAATAGTACTAACTGTAAGCATGCTTGTGCAAAATGCAGTGTGACAAACCAAAAGACATACTATGGTAAAATTTTTAGAATTATTCTTGTATTATAAAAACTAAAAACATTAATTGTAAGTTTATAAGACATACGGTATTCATTATAGGTTTATAAATATTCCAGTATTAATTATAAAAAAGTAAATTTAATTTTTAAAGCACTTGACGCTATCTCAAATAATAATAGCCACAAAAATTAATAGGAGAAACATCAAGAAGTTAAATAAATATTATAGTGATTTTCAAGGCGTGCCTAAGATGTGGCACAAGGCCGAAAGTATGGGACACCCAGTGAGGATCGAACTCACTACTCAGTCGTAATTGTTCCTGCGAGACAAGCTTGTTAACAATTACAGCGCCTCTAGGTGCCCATTAAATAAATATTATATGATCAATGAGGTGACTCATTGATAGGAAGTCAGAAAGATTACAAATAGCTACGTCCGTTACACATGGGAAGTTTAATGCAAACTAGTTTGAACTCTCTGCCTTCGGGCAGAGAGGAACCTAGATGACGCTATGCCGAAGGGCTAAGTCTCATCTGGGGAGGTAGAAAACCTCGACCCCGTTATTAGGGGGTCTACACGCAATTTTTGCCCGGGCTACATTAAACCGGCTTTGTGCAACATCCCGCTCTGTGGGAAGCTCGGGTAAATACCGTGTGCATACTAGTTCCTGTGAGTCCCTAAAACTATACTGCAATGTCTTGGTCGATATCTAAAGAAACGAACGAACAATTATCACTGGATAATTATGTGTAGCACAAGCGTGTCTTAGGATTATACCAGCTAAAGCTAGAAAAAAAAAACTCATGGATTTGAAATTAGTTGAGGGAGAATACCAGATACTGAT